AATACTAAACCCTGAGGGATGCCACTAGTCACTCTCTGCCATGATGACTCAGTTCTATCAAGCAATACTCTCTGGGTCCTACCATGGAGCCAGTTACCTAGCTACCAGACCATAAAGCAGTCAAGGCCACATTTTCCCAATTTTTTCATGAGGACTTCATGGGAGTCAGGTCAAAGGCCTTTTTGAAGTTCAGGTATATGACATCAAACTCATATCCCCCATCCAGGTGGCAAGTAACTTGATCATAGAAGGAAATTAAGTTGATCTGGCAGGACCTGCCCATAACAAAGCCAGGTTGGCCATCTTTCAGAGTACTTCCTTCTGCTAGCTTGTCTATAATGGATTCTTTGATAATTTTCTCCAAGATTTTACCAGGGATTGAGGTCAAACTGATTGACCTGTACTTTCCCAGATCCCACTTTCTCCCTTTCTTAAAGATAGGAACCACGTTGGCCTTCTTCCAAACTTCTGGGAACTCTCCTAAGTGCCACGAGTCTTTAAATAACTTTGCCATTGGCTATGCAATGACATCAGCCAGTTCTTTTAGCACTCCCAGGTGTAGTTCATCTGGTCCTGCTGACTTGTAGATATTTAACTTTTGTAGGTGCTCCCCCACAAGATCTATGCCAACTATGGGAGGGTGGTCACCCAAACCATGATCATCCTGTATCCTGTCAAGCAGGCTAACACCCTTGGACTGGTGGAATACCGATGTGAAGTATTCATTCAGAAGTTCAGTTTTGTCCTGAGTGTCATTTATCAGCCTTCCTATTTCACCGATCAGGGGCCCTATGCTCGATGGAGTGTTTGTCTATAAAATATATAGGCTATAGACTATGTTCTTCCTTCCTGCTCTATGGGATGGGAATAAACAGATTCCCAATACCTGTTTACTCTGAGAACTGGATCAAAAATGTTCTAGTAGACCATCTAGGAAGAGAAGGGAGGTTCATTCTCCTTTCCTAGCTGATGAGGGCATAGATCAATTCAGTCTAACCCTTACTGATTGTCTCTTGTGTTAAAGTTTTCCTTGTGTTTACTGTTTGTGTCTCACCCTCACTTCTAATTTCCACAGTTATAAATCAATTTAGATTTATTAGCTTTCTGCACAAAACTCAAGTAGCCTCTTAATAATAATTATCATTATTACTGATTAAAGTTGCATTATTCATGCCAGATGGAGTCCCCTTCCTGTCAGCCAGAATGAGTTTGTATTATGTAGTTATAAGGTGTTTGTGATCTAAATAAACAGATGGCACAATGTGACTGCAAATGATATGCTGATGATGTCAGCAACAATGGTTTCCAGGCATAATTGCTTTAAATGAACTCTAATGCAGCAAGGATTTGAGACTTTTTAACAAGGTAGCTGGTGTATACAGTATAATTACTATACAGCATAATCAATAATGCCATCAACACTATAAGCATTAGTAGTGAAGGTTGCTTTTGAGAATATAGTCCTTACAACTTGCTCCCTTTAAATCATTGTCTTCTTCCAGGCAGTTAACATATTTGAAGCTAAAAAATGTGCCATCAGGTGAATAAAAACCCATTTTTTCTTTGAGTTAGAATCCCAAGTTCCAAAACCTTAGCAGAGGGACATAGATATTTTCCTCCACTGACTTTTCCAAACTATGTTCAGATAAATATATGTTATATATCACAGTATTACCATGCTTGCAGACCTAGGGGTTGGGAAAGGGAGCTGCATGTTTTCTCCAGGTAAAAAAAAACTAGAAACTTTGATAATATGCTAGGGACCTAGGGCTATATTATTCAGTTTAAGGTTGAAGCAAAAACAAAAGTAACTTTATTGGAATGTGCATTCATTTGATATATTACATACTATGTATGAAAATTACAACAAACTAGTAAAAAATACTCAAATATGTTGCTTTCTTAGTACTGTAGTTATTAGAATTAAATGCACATCTCTTACAGATTCATAAAAGAAAATCAAGCCTTCTTGAGCATCTTGATAGTGTATCCAGTACTTCACTGGAAGTTATTTCCACACCTGATTTAATGTTTTTAGCTAGAGTAAAAAATAGTCTTCAGAGCTGTAAAATAGGAATTACATTGACAGGACCACCTAACAGAGAGTGGAATTGCAGAAGAAAGGATACCTTGATTATTGGAGCACTAAAACAATTTAAAAAGGTGAAAGGGTCCTTACCACTTGCAGAATGAAGAGTTTAGAAGGAATTGGGTAGATTATAATAAACCATGAAGTCAAGTGACTCTTCACTGCTGCCTGAATAGAAATTCTGCTGCCACTGCCACACAGTTGGTTTTAAACTTTGGGTGGACCAAGAATCAAAGGGGCGGATGCAACTGCACTACTGAACCCCCCTGGATCTGCCTCTATTACTAGGTAGGACAATTAACACATTAACAGAAAGATTCCTAATGACTCCCATGGGATCCTGGGTCTGATAACAAATAGACATTTGCTTAATACATTTTCTAAGCAATACTTTATGTGGAATAAAAGAATCAAAGATGAGGACAGATCAGTTTGGTTATAAGGTCAAGTGAACTTATATGCTGTCCAGAACTTTAACAATGCTTTAAGCAAGTTTCTGCAGAAATGACTTAGTGATAGATCTAAGAAATATGTGCAATGCCTAAATTTTAGGAGCTTGGTCCCTAGAGGAATGGATTCCAACACCTAGAGTTAGATGCCTAGGCTTCCTGTACAGTACATGAGTAGTTATCAGCTAGAGGTAGACAATAGGAAACACTTAACAGAGAGTTCTGTCTGAGATTCTTTCCCTCTGCAAGGCTGAGGCCCTTCCATCCACTTGAGATCCAAAGCCAGGAACTCATTCCTGAAAGAGTGTGCTTACAATTTTTTTTTTCCACAGGCAGAAGAGGATAAGCTGGTAATAGTTGTAATGAGGCTGCTCACCTTTTAGATAATTTTTAGTGGTAGAAAACTCATTTAAGAAGTGCAAGACTTGAATTCAATTCCTTTCTTAGCTTGTGGGATTCAAGCTCACACCTCCCACCTTCCAGGTATGCCCTAACTACTAGGCATTAGGTGATTAAGTGTGAGGGGCATATTCAGGGAACATATATGTTGTTCCACAAGTTATCCATTACAGACAGACAACAGCCAATGGGATAGAGTATCAGCATGTCGTTGGGAGGAGGGAAGGGGGTTGGGATTGCTATAGAGTCTCCCATGGGCCACAAATCCCTTAAGGAGAGCTTCCTGCAGGGCACAAAGCTGTACTCCTACTCAGTCACAAGGTGGTGCTGCTTTTCTTTGTCTGACCATCCGTACTTGCACCCAGCCTTATTCTGATGAATCATAGATTGTTAGGGACTGGAAGGGACCTCGCAAGATCATTGGGTCCATCCCCCCTGCACTAGGCAGGAAAGACAACTGGGGTCAGGTGGCCCCAGTGAGGTGACCATCCAGTCTCCTCTTGCAGATTTCCAGGGTAGACGATTGCACCACCTGTGGAGGGAGTGTATTCCACAGTCTGGACACTCTAACTGTGATGGATCTTCAATCAAACTCAAAGTTTCTTAGTTTTTTAGACAGTTCAATTTTTTTTGGACTTCACAAACAGGCATTTTTACCCTTTTTGTATAGACTGTCCATAAATTTACAGACAGTTACCAACCCTGACGGAAGTACCTAGTGAGTTTAGGCAGCTGCTGAGTAGTGGGGGTAGAAAGGATTTGTAGTAGGGATTTCAGTTTGGACTTAGGTGGCTAAAGATCACCTAAGCCTTATTTTAACTGCCTAAGGCCTTCTTTAGATTTAGTTTTTAGTTACAGTCCTTCACCTCTTAGGAGTGATCTTATTGCTTTTATTTATTGTTGCAGCATTCAGTTGTTTTGGTGTACCGTTTCTTGTATGACATCCATCACTAACAAGGAACTATGTGGTTCCATTTAGGGCATCCAGTGTAAATCTTTGTGTTAAAGGCCTAAAATAGTATTGAAAATATACTTAAATATATACAGTTTGGTTTTCTTATCCATATGATAGCATTTTGTCTTAAGATCTACAATTTGAATATATTAGACCTGTCTGAAGTGGCTAGTATTCGCTTTGGACTTGGATTTGGCTAATTTGGGGGACAGTGATTCAACTCGGTGATTCGAATCACTGTCCCAAATCGATTCAGCTGAATCAGCCCTATGCCCAGCTTGCTCTCCTAACCCCATCAGTGGCTGCCCCACCTGGCTCCAGTTCCCAGCTCTTTGAAAAAAAAAAAGCCTGGCACTCACTGGCTGTTGCCATGCAGAGGGGTGATCCCTGCTGCCCCCCTGTGCTGTGTGGGGATCTCTGTCACGAGCCCCCCAAAGCCCCAAGGCTGCTTCAGCAGCCAGTGAGTCTGGGGCTTTTATTTATTTATTTATTTTGGAAAAGAATCAGGAGCTGGGGCCAGGCAGGGCAGCCATG